CCGCCCCCCCCCCCGCCCCCCCCCCCCCCCGCACGAGACGACCAGTGAAACAGGCGATTCAATAAAGCATTTGCAAGATTTTTCAGTCATTATTGCTGCATTAGAAGTCCTGTGATAAATTCATGAAAGTCGCAGAACAGTTTCCGACACTTGCAAGAAATTTAGGTACTTCTCATGTGCAACACTTTACGTTCTGGCGCCATGGCTGCGACAAATAAATAGGACATCTGTCTGAGACAAATTTCAGTCTAATGCAATTCTGCAACACATTCCTTTACAACTTACTGACAGTTATATGAATCTGTCGCAAGTTGTGCCGTTTGTTGCACAGTCGGGAGATGGATTGCTGAGTGTCTATAACACTCTTTATGAATCCCAGGGAGTGAGAGTTGATGAACCTCAGAGGATTTTCTGTGAATAAAGCGATGTTTGGTGGCACGGGCGGCACAAGAGGTACGCTTGTTCTCTCTTCTTTCACAGGGTGAGCTTACCTGGGAAAGTTTACTATAACTACAGGGTTGCTTTAGTACATTTTCCAGCATACTGAATTCTGGAAAAAAATGTCCTGTCATTTATTTTAAAAAATCCAAAAACAGGGACAAAAGTGGACAATGAAAGAAAAAATGTGATTGGTCACTACAGCTCAGAATGTATTCCCATTTTCTTTCCTACATTTCCAGTATTTCCAGTGGGAACACAGAGTTAGATCCCCCTTCTTGGGTCACTAGTTATTTAAGTCAAAGCCACTCCTGCTTCCTCTCTCCCCTCCCTGTGCTGTCTTTACTTCACATTCACAACTCCAGCAGGCAAGATGGAAAATCAAGTATTTTTGTCCTTCGTCTTCTACAGCACCCTCCTTATCCTGAAAATGTATACCTTGGCTATAATAACAGGGCAGATTCGGCTCCGCAAAAAAGTAAGTCTCAGACTTTTTTTTTTCTTTCCTATCCCTGTAACTATAATATCTTGTTAATATAGATACTTTTTTCCTCTTTTGGGTTAAGCTTTTTTCAGAAACGTATGTAAAAATTGAAAGCCCCCAGGGGCACGCAAAGACGCCTTTCACTCTTATGAGCTTGAATCCATGTGCTGAAAAAGTAATTCCAAAAATTTAAGGAATTGAAATAACAAACAAAAAAAAACACACGCAGCAACCGGTCGACAGTAACTGTCTCTTTTACTCATATGGTGCTGCTTGTCTAGAAAGGGTTAATACAGTGAAGTTATTGAGAAGGGATGTCAACAACTAACTGACTGAGAAAGTGCAGTCAGTGTTTGAGGTGAATGTGGGCTGCAGCGTGGATTGTATAATGGATTTAACTCTTTCGGCTGCAGCTGTTTCCAGCACGCCTCTGGTACCCAATGGCTGAATTCATGCTTTGCACTGCATGTTTAAATGTTTTATATACAGTGGTACCTCGGTTCACGAACGCTTCTGTTTGGGAACAATTCGGTTCACGAACAGGAAGTTCGGCAAACTTTTGCTTCCGTTCGCGAACTCCGCTTCGGGTGACGAACACAAGCGCAGCCATTTTCCCTGCTCTGACACATGGTCATGGCTTCCTCTAGTCAAGATCGCGGTCTCATCACAGTTTGATTCGATTCACGATCAATTCGGTTCGCGACCAGAAGCGTGGAACGAATTAAGTTTGTGAACCGAGGTACCACTGTACGTCGTATTGCTGGTGCTTTCACCCTGATGCATCGACGTGTGTTTAACTGCATTTCTCTGCATGCATTTTCAACATGCTTATCTCTCTGGTGGCCCTTATCCCTTACCTTCCGTCCATTCCAGTGCTGCATGCAGTTCTAACAACCAGTGCATGGTGTAATGCCGTTGTACTGTACTGCACCGTGCTGCACAGTGGTGTGAACTGGGCGGATTGTAAACCAGGCACTGTACTTTGTTGTGCTGGAAAAGGCTTCTAGTGCAGCCCCAACACATCGGATGTGAACAAGCCCTCAGTGTCTTAAAGTGGTATTACTGTAAAGTCAAAAATCTTTTTCCCTCCCCCCAATGTAAAAAAAAAGACTTACCTTAAATGATGTTTCTTAATCCGATCTTCTTCTTTCTTGTCCTTTTCATCTGTCCCTCCAGCGCTGCGGCGGGAGGGATCCAGCGCTGACTCCTCTGAGCTTGCTGGCACTTCCTGTCCCACGGTGTCTGCATGCGGGTACACGCTGATGTTCTTGGAAAGTGTTTTTGCAAGAAAAGTCTACAAATCTTTCTGGCAGTAGGATCTTCAAATAACTATCTCACATACGTATGAGGTTAGCCTTACCTCAGCTATAGATTAACCAATGTATGATCTATTGGGACACAAGTTGAGTGACTTCCATGTCTTGGTTGTGACTGCCACATTGCCAATAATACTTTTTTACCCAACATCCCATTACTACACATGTGGAATAGTAAAAAAAAATGGTCAATTCCTGTAAAGAAGAGATATTATACTTACCTCTCCTGCCACTCGTGCCATAGGTCTTTACTATCTTCAATAGCTACGGCAGCTGGAGAATCCTCTTCACACCACAAAGAGTGCGTTCTAGAACGCTCGACTTATGGAACGTCAACTGGCCGGCTCCCTGCGTTCAAGGATGGGCGGGGCTGTGGCACCGCAGCCACGCCCCCCTCCCACCCGCAGTGCGATCACCCACACCCGAATGCGCGGCACATTAGTGCCTGCATTCTGGTCCAGGGTGATCTGCAAAATAGGGCGTGCAGCATTTTTGCAGATTGCACTGGACTGGAACGAAGGCACTAATGTGCCACGTGTTCAGGTGTGGGCGATCGCACTGCGGGTGGGGGGACTCTGGTAGCCAATCCATGTGTGACAATGATGTCTCATGCTCCCTGAACCACTCTTTCACAATTTGAGCCCGGTGAATCCCGGCATTGTCATCTTGGAATATACCCGTGCTATTAGGGAAGAAAAAAAATCCATTGATGGAAAAACCTGGCTAATCAATATATTCAGGTAGGCAACTGAGCTCGTTTTTTGGGCACATAACTTTGCTGACCCTAGACTTTTTAACCAATGGAAGACTCTTACGTATTTCCACCGGTAACAGTTATGGGGGGGGGGGCATTCCACACCACTTTGTAACATATAGCTGCAGGGTGTACGCCTCCCTGCAACTAATTGGCTCAGGAGTTGGGGGTGACAACCAATAGTTTTGGTGGGCTTGGGTAAACTCAGGTGAACTCGGTTTACACCAAGCCCAGCCTCATCACTACTCACTATCATTCTCTTGTTGTAGCTGCTTTATTGTTTTTAAAGGCATTTATTTCCCTTCAGTTTCCCTTGGTGATCCTGCCTATAACATACTTCTTGTCCTACAGTGACAACACTTACTCAGACTACTGTACTGTATCTATGGAGGAGCAACATTGTCACCCTAGGACAGGACTACAAAACTTTTCAACTCTCCTCTGTGGTGGGGTCTATGTTGGGCAGTGTCCACACCACATCCTGCACCGGGCTGCAGGGTCTCGGGGGGGGGGGGGGGGGTCCACAGATCCTGCACAACCCCCCTGAGATCCTGCAGATTTAGGGGGGGTGCCCTAGTTTCGTCTTGCCTAGAGCGGCCCCCAAACCAGAATACCCCACTGGATAGGGACCTTAGATTGTAAGGTCCTTGAGGTCAGGGACTGATGTGAATGTGCGCTGAGTAAATTGTCAGTGCTATATAAATAAATGTTGGGATTTGTCGTCAAAGCACAGCTGGATGTCTGGAGTTTCCCACCCTTGCATATACAAACCGAAAAGGGACCAAAGAAGAGAAGTTCATTCCTGGGGTTTATAGTGTTTGTGTTTTGCTACTGCTCTGTGTATGTGACGCATTTCTGAAAGATCTGGCACACAGTACTGAATTTTAGATTGAATTATATAGAGAGGAGTGCACATTTTTTGCAAAACTCTGAATGTGTTATTTGTGTGTGAACTGCTTTTATTCCTCCACGCATCAACAGCAGCACATGGGGAATGTGTGGTCAGCACATGGTAAATGCATCATAAACATATCCTAAAAGCAATCCATTTTTACTTGAAAGTTCCTAAAAGCATGCCCTGGAAGGAGATCCAGCTTCATTCCAGTACCCCCATGAACAATATTTATGTAACATTTACACATCCGACTTGACATGTGATGGTGAAATAATTGACAGATCAGATTTTCAGGAAATTCTTAACCTTTGGAGCAGGAAAATCCTGAATAGCTGAATTTTAACGGCCCTGTAAATGCCAGTGATAACAAAGAATGGTTTATTCCTGTTGGTCACATGTGTGGGTGACCCTGATGCTTTTAGTGACACGACAGTTAAAGCATCAATACTAATTGACTCACCTTTGTTAGGTGTGTATCTAAACCCAAACACTTAACCCAAATATGCTGCTGAACATGTTCCTTTAATACAGGGGAGGGCAATTCATTTTCTCAAGGTGCCACTTGAAACTGGGACTGTTGTGGAGGGTCAACACATTACTGTGAAGGTGTGTAGGCACACACGCACATACGTGAACTGATAAAAAATCTCATAATGTAAGTGTGTACTCCGATCGAGGCAACTAATAATTAGCTGTCCTCATCAGAAGCCCCCCTACATTGTTTGCTCCCATCAGAGTGCCCCCAACTTTCATAATGATTGTAAATGGTGGGGGCAACTAATGTAAGTTGGCACTCCGACGAGGACAACTAATAATCAGATTGCCCTCTTTTTTTTTTTTTTATAGTTAATGTAAGGGGGCACTCTGATGGGGACAACTCATTAGTAGGCCAGAGGCAGGAGCTGGGAGGTGGAACAGGTTGCCAGAGAGGATGGAAGAAGATATTCTTCCATCCTTCTGTAATGCTGGGCATGGGGAACACATTTGATGTCCTGGCGGTCCTAGTAACCAATGACTGCAGGAAAGGTGGACACCGTACGCCATTGGTTGCTAGGATGCCAGTGGTCTTAGCAACCAACGGCTGAAGAGGAGGGGCCTGCGCTGGGCTTTGGCTTGCAGTGGATGGCCTATGCATCCACTGTCATCCACCCATAACGGAGTGCAGGTCAGCGATCAGCCCGGGTCTGGACCATGGGCTGGACAGGGACAGCCAAAGGGCCGGGTGTGGCCTGTCGGCTTTAGAATGCCCAGGTTTGCTTTAATGTTTTATATGTCTTACTTCTAAATAAATTGTTCCAGCAAGATGTATCCACAGGCACTTCCTTTTCTAGGATAACAACAGTTACTTAGCTCAGTGTTTTCCCCCTAGGCATTTCTGAGTTGGTCTACAAGCAGCCGTGCCAATACATATTGTGCACATCCTCCTGTAGTCACCATAACAAAACTTTAAGTCTACTGTGAAGTAGAACTCCTGGTACACTAAAAACTTACCCTTGCAATGGGGTTACCCCCACACTGCAAGGGTTAAGTCATTTTGTCTAAGGGGCTCAAATAAAGCTGTATTACTCCTCCGATCCTCGGTCCCGCCGGGCTGCTAGAGTGGTCCCCACAGCCTATTCTCCCATTGGTTCTGGGGGTCTAATGACCACTGATGTCATCTCATCTAATGCAGGTACATTGACTCGCATTAGATGTGAGGAGATCGAGAGGCATGTCATAGCTGGAGTGGCGGGGGAGAGGTGAGCAATGGTATATCTGCTTTATTTGATCCCCCTATACAAAACGAGCACTTAACCTTAAGGGCTCGCTCACACCAGTTGCAGTGCGTTCCGGCCCGATTCTGGCCAGATCGCACTGCCTCGCATTGTGGCCGGCTCACTTTTTAGGGGGGTTGGGGGGCGTGGCGAGCCATTGAAGTGAATGGCACCTTAGCCATGCCCTCCAGCCACAATGCGATCGGCCACACGGGATCGCAAGACACATTATGCCTGTGGTCCGATCAAAATGCTGCAAGCACTATTTTGATCGC